ACGGAGACTTGACAGCAGAGCCAGTGGAAACGGTGGATGGGGCGGGTTAGGACTAAAACCATGGGTTCAGCCAGCACCTACGCTAGTGGTACATAATAAACTTTATTTAAAGAAAGTAAAACATGTTAAGTGTATACATTTATCTTAAACATGGCCCTATTTTAATATTTGTTTCAAGTGAAACACATACTTTCAAAAATCAAAATTAAAACTTCTAGCAACATTTATCATGTGAGTTGTGCTGCAATAATATGTTTATGTTAATAGACAGACCAATTCACTGGTATTTCTTACCTGATGCTGGTAACTCCTGTCTACAAAAAGTAAATTTTGATGCATGTGTAGTGCTTTTTGCTTGATCTTCAGTGTGGCATTTGAAGAAGTGGATCGAAAGATTGGTTCACGTCAAGTTGACTGGGTCATCCAAACCTAATTGGGTTGCTACAAATAAGAAAACTAATCAGACGTAGTTGGCACATATGTGCCTACCTTGTGCTGAAAACATGCAACATAGGTGTCAGTGCGTAAACCATGATTTATCTTAAAATAAAAATTATTCTGCAATTGTACTTCAAGTATATCTATCTGTACAACAATGCATGCTTAACATCACTACAAGTGGATTGAAATTTGAAAATTGATTTCAGTTTCCAAATAATTTCAGAACATTCCCTTTATAAGATTGTTCTGCTTAAATACAAGATATCAATTTTAGAAGAATGTGGGCGTGTGTGGGAGTTTCTAAATACGTGTTATGTCTCAAATGCCAGTAAAATATTAAAAAGCCAATTGAATATTAATGCCTTTAACATATCATCCACAAGTGAGACAGATTCACAAGCAGGTATGTGAAACCCAGACAAACTTACCTTCTGCTTGGGGTCACTGGACCATTAATTACTTGGTTTAAAACCACTAGCTGGCAGTTTTTTGCTTCTTTGCTTCATTCTCTTGATCCTTAAGAGTAATAGAAGATATCCAGGGGCGGATTTAGGCCGTCTTCTGGGTCTTCCGGAAGACGGTCAGATTTTCAAGTTAACATTGACGTGTATCGTATGTTTTCTGTCAGAAGACGGTCAAAATGGAGGATGGATCAACAAAGATAATTTGGGAGACTGTCAGAAAATATCTCTAGATCCGCCCCTGATATCTGGTCTTCTGTCAAGACCAAATCCCCATTATGCTGCCACCTTCCCTAGTCACACATACAGCACAGCAGTTTTCAGTAAATAGCAAAGACTATCTTCTTGGCAAAATTTGCTCTTTGAGCAGTATTGACATTCATCAAAATAACCCCTTTTTCATTTTGACCTTTAACTAAATCAGTTTATTTCATTTACAACCAGTTTTAATTGTTCCTTATGGCAAAGCAATCAATTTAGAAAAACATATTAGGAGACATGATTGCTGTCTTTTCTGGAGTTATTGAAGAAAGCTATCTAGGCGCTCATTAAATTAACTGTCTATAATATGGAAAACTGAGGAACTATTTCATATTATTTGCACAGCTATGAGCACAACAAGAGAGAAAATCACAGAAATGCAGGAAACTGGTAATGCAGCTTTCACTTCATGAATGAAGACTAAAATGTCCTCCATACCTTCAATATTAGTTACCAATAATTAAGAATACATTTTTACAATTTTTTCTGAAATTGATGAATGGCCTTGAGACATTTCAATATCTATTTTGAAATGTGCCCTCTGTGAATAACTTTATCAGTTGGATCCATCAAGGGTTCAGAAATTTGGACAATGCAAAACATAACTGTGGCCTCACTGTGCATAACATTTGTGTGAGAAACAATAAACTTATATATATACTTCATGCTCATTGTCATAGGCATAATGCTTTATACCCCTCAGGCAGACCAAGACAGTAACAACAGTCCAGCTGCTCTCCATTTTTATCTCAGATTCATTCCAATGTGGATCTTTCACATTTGCTGATTTTTGTTTCTGCTTTCAAAACACAAAAGCAGAGACCAGTCACTTACAGGTTTTTGAGGAATCCAACACATTTATGGAGCACCATTGTCCTTGTGGTTGTTGTCCTGTTCACATGAAAATCTAAGAAAAATCAGTTCCATAAAATAAAACATCAAAGTGCACAACATAGATGCACCTAATCAGAGCTCCTGGCACCTAACAATTCTGTTTAATCAATAAAAGGGTAAAAAAATAAATGTCTCAAGACCTTTTTTCCTTTTAACTGAAAGTTACATGACATTGGAGCTAAATATGTTCTCTGACAGAACAGAATGTAGATATGATTTGTTTGTTTAGTCAAGTGAATCTGTGATGTCTACTGAGCCAATATACTATCAAGTGCTTTTGTATTGCCCAATATTTAGTTCCTGCAGTTATCGATTTTCACTGTAAAGTATGCTGTTGTTGCATAATGCCTAGACATCCCATCTCCCTCGAGATACCATAAATCTAAAACATTGAATAACTGAACAAAACAGAAACATAATTAATTTTGAGATAGACTCATTTAAATATGGCATGATATCTGAAGGAACTGTTGACAGCAATGGCATTTACTTTCTGCTCATCTTCTGTGGGTGCAATTCCTGCTTGCATCTATAGTGGCCGTCCATTCCTCTGTCCATCTGTGTTCCTCAATTCTTTCGCTTGTCTATTTGTGTATCCATCCATCTACATCACTGTGAAGATCTATTATACTACATCCTGCACACTTTACCTCCATATTCATCATACCAGAAGTGCTCACATAATCACTTTTTCTTACATATGAACCACTGACTGCAGTAAACTACCAGCATCATGCCTTAACTACATACACGCTACTTAATACAACGGGTCAACTTGAGGACATAAGTCGCCAAAAGAAACATTCACTTGAACAAAAATAAACTGGATGAAAGAAAATTCCTTCCATGGATATGAATATTCTCCATACTGACAACCAGTGGTGATAACTCCTCAAACTCTTCTCAATAGTCTACAGAGAAAAAAATCAATTTAAGCAATGACTATCAAAATACAATTGCAATAAATTAATACTGGATTTTAAAACATTAAATGAACACTATCACATTGTTTATCCCTCTTGAATTGAATATCTTGCACTGATGAGTGGTGATAAATTTGTGAACATGCTTACTTGGAATATAAGATGTTTTATCATTTGAAGTATCCATTATAAAAAAAACTCACCTTTAATCATACAGATGTGACTCTGGCCACAAAGCACAGGATATAGCACTGAGTTTGTCACAGTCATGCAAGTTCTGTTTCATCTTCAAATTCAGTAGTTGCTTTCTCTTTTATGTATTTTCATGATTCTTCGCGATCAGGAAACAACCAGCACCTTAGTTTTTATAAGTATCAGTTTGTTACCATGGCAAACCGCTGAGGAGCTTCTATGTAATGGCACAATAATTGTGGACATTTGAAATTATACCTCATATGTATACACCTAAGTCAGGTTTTCGGTGGATTTGTATATATACCTTTTATACATAATGTCATAATTATGATGCAATGTATGTACTACTTTTGATTTTTTTTTTTGTTTGTTTGTTTTTTGTTTACATGTTTACATATCCTTTCCCACTTTCTTCATTCTCCTTTAGGGCTCTTGTAAGTGCAATATAATATTTAAACAAGTTCCCATGAGGTTGAATTCACTGTTATGATAAATACTCTTTCAACTGAAATAATCAGCAAAAATCAGTTCTCAGTATTAATGGAAAGGATACTTGCCCTGGTATTATGTTATACTATTAGTGAATCTTATTGTATTGATTTTACATTGGCGTTTATTAAGAAATTACTCTTAATCAATTACACTTAAAGAAAATATTTTTTTCCTGTATTTGTCAGAAATCAAGAGTTCTTTACCTATATCTTTTTTTTCCCCTTTGACAAGAATTTTAAGCAATCTATTTCAGATCTGGTTTGAGAGTCAAACTATAGATGATTTTAGTTGATTTTGGAAAATCTATGTTCTCTTTAGTCTCATAGGTTCAAAAGTGTAGTTGACATATCACATTTCTTACAGAAATGAACCAGACAATATTTGACAGTCTAGACATATTATACCAGAAGATTGTGGTCTAGCATAAAGGTTAAACTGAGAATACAAATTGTAAAAAATGTGCTTTTTTCATATTTCCAAAAATTAAACAGATTTAAAACATCATACAGAATTTATCTACAATAGTTTCAAACTATAGATGAACTGCTCTAACTACCAATGAAATCAAAGGTATGACACTGGCTTAACAGTAGCATATGTAAGTAAAACCAAATGCTGCAGATAATTCAATTGAGTTAAAAAATAAAAATAAGCTTGCTAACTTGTAACTTTTTTTCTAGTCAATATTAGCTATTTGTCCGGAAAAAATTAATGCAGTAAAACATGTTACTATTCTCTATATATATTAAGTCTCTAGCATTTCATAAAATAGATAATAATAATAATAATAATAATAATAATAATAATAATAATGATAAAAAAATTCAAAGTGGAAAATTACAGACTTCTTAGCCAGGAGTTCTTTAAAGAACCGGAATAACTTCTATAAGACTTCACACTGATGTATACATACAAGACAATTCCATTTCTAATGAGGTACTTAAACTGACTACAAGTATGCATACTCACCTAATGGCTGCCAATCCTCACCAGTCTAATATTCTAAACTGCCACTTTCATACATAACAATAAAATATTACATGGACAGAAAGTGGGGATGCAGAACCTCTAATTTGTTATAAAAATACGCGAGTTATAACAGATATTTCACTCACAAGGTATGATGTTTTAATACATATATTGAAATGGGAGCCTAGGAAATGTGCTCAGCAGTTAAAATCACCAAAGTTCATAACATCATGAATTATTGTAGAGAAAAAAGGCCTTATCGGTGGTATTGAAACTTTGTAAAGACTGAATACACTTGCCATTTTTCATATAAAATATATATTTATATATTTCTTTGAAAAGAATAAAAAAAAAATGCAGTGGCTTTTCTAAAATCAGCATCTTTTATTTCACAATGGTAAAATTGGTAAAATTATAGATAAACGCATGAACTGCCAGAGATGCCAAATTCAAATCATGAACATAGACAAATGTACAAATATTATCTTTCTTGACTGTATAACCATTTTAATTAGCATCTTACTATTCAACTGGTATCTTTTATTATATATCATTTCGAATAAGTATCTATATTTCAGAAAAACATTTTCTTGTGCGGTTAAGCATAATTCTGAGACAAACATATCTGCAACCAATTTAACCATCACAAGACTATTCTCGGGCACTTCGAAGCCCACTCAGTACCAATGAAACCAGGGTTTCAGAGTCTTGCACTAAATGCCACTGCCTACTGTTAGAATCAACATTTTCACCACATTCCTCCCACTGACAAAGAATGACAATGATTCACCAATCTTTGACTGGGATCTATCACACCTATCAATATTTTTTCACGAGGCCATACTAAAGTGATAACTTCATTAACTTTCCTTTAACAGGAGTAGATGGCATTTATCTTTGTTTTATAAATATATAATGTTAAATGAGCATGGCATCTAAATTTTAAGGTTGGTCGGGGTTTTTAAAAATGTATTTAAGGGAGGAGGAAATGTCAAAACTACAGTGTGGGTGATGTTAGAGTATAAAGACAACAGTATTAAGACCTTTTCTGGGGCCATCTGCAAATATGTTCACTTTCACTGATTAGCTCAAAATTAGTGTTATTTAATTGTACCTAATAATTAAACAATAAGTAAACAAAAAAGAAAAGAAAAAATTTGAAGGAACCTCAATTTTTCTTATCGGTAACATGACTTTCTTGTCAGCCTACAAAGGCTAATAATGACTGGATAGGTGTTTTCAAAAATATTTTCATTTTCTGCATAACCTGCACCTTCATGAAAAATAATCTATAACCCAAAAGCTCTGAACACATAATGAAACTCAAAACTTTTTTTAAAGAGTTCATCCACACAATTCACAGGAACAACTTTTGATATGTTAACTTTATAGTCTCTGAGTTGGTAAGGAAACACAAGGACATATGTCTGGGCACCAAAAGGCAAACAAACCAAAATTACAAAATCTAGAACCTCTAATGCTGTCAGTGAAGAAATAATGGTGGGTGGGACTATCAGTGCAAGTCTCTGACCTTCAAGGCCATACAAGGTGGTAGACAGGAATTTAGGTTGGACATGGTTACAACTGACCTGCATATCCGGATCATAATCCTGTTTCATATTCAATTTTTACAAAAGTTAAGAAATATGACTTTTCAGATGTTGCTGTCTAAGTTATTAGTATCTGAAATTGTGTACACTGAACCCAACATTTGTGTCTGATATAGCAATCAATGACAGTTCATCAAATGAATCAGTTTGGTGATACCATGGTGAGCATTAAAAGTAGCCCACTCATCTTGCAATGAAGATGATATGAAAAATGTATAAAACATTTTGACTTCAAAGAATGTTCAGAGAATGTTCATATGACTTATAATTCCACAGACTAAAACATAGCCAGTCTCATATTTGATGTCAATAGTCAGAAATGATCACAGTCTTTTCCATCCCTTCCAGATTGTGCAAAACTGTCCTTATTCACAACAGAACATGATCCCACAGAATATGTTTTCCCTCTCATTTAAGAGATCAATGTCCTGATGGAGAGAATCTGACTAAAATAATACTTACTATTACCACCTCCACCTATAGAAAATCTGTACACTGTCTCCTCTCTAGTCTTGCCTTAAGTGGCATCTTCGAAATGGTGACTGAAAAAGATCAAAACAATTTTTACAAAAACATTTGTTATCAGATAGTTCTTAAAACAAAGGAATACCAAATCCTAAACAATTAGAAAATGAAAGTAAAGATTCAATAAAATTAAGACTTTGATTTCTTAATTTATCATTGCTGATGCGGTTTGTCGACAATTTATGAAGTCAGTAAACATATGACCATATCATAATGCACACACACACACACACACACAAATTAACAGACAAATACACACTATTCAGACTTTCCTATTTTTAACCATTTATGCTGGGGTGGCAAAAATGTTTGTTTTTTTTTTTTTTTTTCTTCAGCCTTGATAAATCCTTTACCATTAATAACTATCTTGTATCAAGATTAGTAGGTGTCCTTTTCATCACATTTTCCCTCAAAATTTCAACCACAGGGAATTCTCTTTAACCACCTTTACCTCTTGAAATTCAGCATATTTCAGGAGTCATGACAAGGGGGAAAATGAAACCTCTTGGCATCACCTGTTTAGGTGTGTAATAATATCAGTTCAATCAGTTTGATGGGGTAGGCAAGACACCATGACTAGCAATCTCACCAAGACTCTTATAGCCGATACATTAGTTCTCTAGCTCTTATTCCGAAAATTGTTTTAAAACAATTTTGCATTTACTGTATAGGTCAACATTTTAGCCCTCTCTTCAACATGTCTTCCTAAATCTAATGTTCAGTGCACTGATAGCCCCACTCTGCTGCAATACTAAAACATGTTTGTATCTATCTAAGTATTAACAATAAAGTCACACACACACACACACACACACACACACACACACACACACCTCCTTAGGACATGAGCCTCAAACCATATTACTCTCTACCAATGCTAAATTTCTTTATTATTATTATGCTCTCTGACAAAAGAAAAAATTGGTAATTAATGTTAAATTAAGAAGGGTCTTCACAGAGACTAGACCACCCCTCCAAATCCTTCACCCAAAACATTCTCTACACAACGCTGAACTAAGAAGATAAAGATCAAATGACATTTGAGCCTGCTTTGATCTATGTCACTGAACAGGTACAAGGAGGCCAGGAATGCTATGCCTGGTCATGCTTCATGCACTCAGGCATGTTTACACCTGAACTAACTTAAACCCAAAATAGACCGATTGGCATAACTATTTCTTTAGCTGCAAATGAACTGGCTTGGACTAACAAAACATCTTTCAAATCACACAGTTATCCCCTCACACCTTAGAATGTTCAGTCAGTGCCATCTTTAGCAATGTGGTTATCATAGGATAATTGGGGTACTGCAGTTCTAAGCTAGTCCCGCTGTGAACACCTCTTTAGAAAATCATTGCTGCCTTGTGACCTGCATATAGAACAGGGAATATGGGCCAAAAGTTCAAAGTGTATATATTTTATTTGAGTTATTCTATTATTCACTTCTTATTTTCAAAGTTTGTGTTTCTACTTTTCATCCAATTTTCTTGTTAGAGAACCATTAGTTAACTACATGAATATCTATACTTGTAATAAGACTGTCTATTTAGCTAGGACTTTATTTCAAAATGTTCAGTGGGAAATATTTAATGCCAGCATAATCTTTTTTATCTGTAACTCTGCTTTTTAATAATGACATGCTTATGTACCTTCATTAATAACCAAGTTGATTGATGTAACCCATATATCAATATAAAACACAATATTACAATATGAAAATGACAGTAAAAAACTTGCACTTGTATTTTAAGTGATTCATTTACAATTCTAACAAAGTACCTTAAAGCAATAATAACTCTTCCTTTGAGATTCAAAATTCCGCAAGAAATACATTCTAAATAACACACAGAAATATATTATATTGCATTTCACCACTAAAACGGCTGTTATTGTAGTAAAACTAAAAACTGTGCTTGTCAATAGGGCTTTCGGTGCCTTTTTTCCCCGGTCATCAAGGCATTCGTTGCCAAGGATTTTGGCGCATCACGCGGATTCTCGAGCGCAGTCGAGACCAAAATAACAAAGGCGCATGACACAATCCTCAGACGTAAGTTGCGAGTTTTTGTACAGTGTGTCGGATAACGAAAAGCCCAGAACTGCACGCGTTGTGAATATGAGCAATTAAGACGATTATATCGTATGAGTCTTATTTTATTGCAATAAAGTGTTGTTGTTGTTGTCTGCTTTTCCTACTTAATGTCATCAGAAAACCCCGTTCGATATGCTATGTTAGAGAGGACTCCGTCAGTTAAAATCACTTAAGAGATTTTAACAAAAAACCGTACGTTTAGGAAAAAAACCCTGGATTAACTTTGAATGCAGGAATGGGGTCGCTGACCATTGGTGAGTACGGGAAAATTACTGTTTACTCCAGGAAAATCCAATTTTTGGCCAAAACGAAGAGTTATTATGACTTTAATATGAACTTGCCAAGACAATAACTTAAGGTGGCCAAGACAATACATTACTTAGTCTCATGTTAAATGCATATGTATTATAATGAAAAATTTTAACTGGCATATGTATAAGCTCTGAAAGTTTCAAGACTGTTCCTGTATTTTGGCAAATGCTCAATCACAGAGTCAAAATTAAAAATACAATTACTATTATAATTAATATTTAATGTTAATTAAATGCTTGTGTTTCTATCTATTAAATAAAAAATCTAAGAATCTGTAGAAAATATTTAGATGGGTTTAAATTTTGACTTCTTATTTTCAACACCTACAAGACAATTATATCCTGCAATATTTATGGTATTTTCTGAATTTATCTATTTTTCAACACCACCAGCAACTATGCTTTTTTTATCAAAAATGCTACTATTCTACAAATTATCTATTTATTCAACCTACACATATATACAAAAGCTGCATCATAAATAATATTAACATGGATTATAAATTTGCAGTACATCTATACTGTAAACTAACTTACCGAAAGCTATGGAAAACACTTTCAGATATGTTCCAGTTTTATCAGATGGATATCAAATCCATCAACCACACGAGATAGCAAAATAATAACTCAGAAATATGTGCTTTTAGAAGGAAAAAAAATACTAGGTTTACAGACCTCAAGGCAATCCCACTCAAACCACAGTACCTTCCTAGAAATTTTAGGACAAATTAGATTGATGTAATGACTTGTGGGTCACTTCCCACTCAAACCACATGCATTTCCTGGAGAAATTGTTCAGCTAACCCACACTTAGGCTGACACCCACTACAAAACCAAAGTTTTACTTTTAGCTGCAGCCCTTTGAGCAAGCCAACAAAAATCATGCTGATTTCCTAGAAACCATGAGGCAATAACATGCCTTAACTAATGTATGCTTAATCAATCCAAAACCATCCATATTTCACTGGTAACAACTAACACAATGAGATGTTCCTTTTGCTATATATCAATCACTTTAGATAAGGTAAAATAAGAATCTATTCAATAAATTGTTATATATAAAATATTTGTGTGAAAAATCATTTCCTTTTTGGAACTGTGCTAAGAGCAATAAATTAATAGTTTAGCATAGCAAAAGTAATCTTATCAATCACAAATTAGCTTCAAAAGCCAAATTAATATTGGTTATTGCGTGCAAATAAAAACTATTTGGATACAGTCTAATTCCTTTAAAAAGTTAAGTCTTCTGTAACTTGTTTACTCTCTTCACAGTTAAATCTCAGAAACTGAAACTCCTCTTCTTTTTTTCTCCAGCATTTTCAATATTAGTGGCGTTTTTACATATTGATTGATTCCTTCTAAATTCTACAATCATTTTCTTGGTTTTAGTACCATTAAGATGACTGCATAGATACAACAGATTTTCTGTACGCCCTTTCATCATTATTAGTGGATTGCCCCACAAGGTTGTGTCCTCTGCAAATTTCTATCATAGCACAATTATAGGTAAAGAACAAGTAAAGACAGGGTAAAAGAAAACACCTCTATGCCAGTATTTAAATATTGTAAAACAAGACATCCGACCTTAACTGATTGTATTCTGTTTAATAGAAAGTCTTAAAACCCAGAAAGAAAAGGAGGTAGTTTAAGTTCATGTAAAAGATAAAAAATACATAATTATTATTGCACAAATATGCTCAAAGCAGAGCTTAAGTCAATAAATTAAACACTCACATAATAGTTTTTGTTATCTGAGGAACTATGGATTAATTTAAAGAACATTTTTTTTTCTTTTCCTTCTGTCTGTTGGGAGAATTTTTGAACAACATTTGAGTCATAAACAAAAATTTATGTCAAGGAATATTTCCATAAATGATTTGCCCCCAATGCTTTAAAGTGCATAAATCAACATTGTAATTGTTACAAGAGCAATGCTGAAATGTTGGCTTGCTGGTAGAATTACAATACATGAATGGCTTCAGTTAATTTTGGTTTCTGATATTTTTTTCTGCATTAAGTTGACTAGAGCTAGAAAATATGATAATTGGGATGATAATTGCTCAAGTTCAAGTAAATTGGGGAAAATATGAATTTGAGAGATAACAAACATTACAATGTAACTTATTACAAAGCACTGGGGCGAAACGGAGAGATTAGCCATCCCCAACCAATGAAAAGATGGGTTAACTACCGCTATCCTATTGTGTAAGGAGAAGAATTTATGACATTTCTTGTTTGTTTATCAATGTTTATAAATATAATGCTTTTTTTAAAAACTTCATTATTATCATGTTTTCCATCAATGAATACTAGTATATAATAAAATGGTTAACAGACAAGTCAAAGTAAAAGCCACCACTGTTACAATAATGAAATTTCTTTCATTTCAAACAATAAAATGTAGACTTCATTCACGTTTTCCTCCCAAGCCGATTTACAACTTGAGCTACACAAATGAAACACATAACAGGACTTAAAAGAGGTAGATTTACACATTTCTGAGAGGATGCATTTTTTGTTTATCTTTTACATGTCATTCTATGAAAATCCGATCAATCAATAATGTATATTTACACTATGCCCTATTATATGTTTTACACATATTAAGCTAAATTGAAACAGAGTTGAACTAAGACCTCATAAAAAGTTTTAATGTCATTGATAATTTTAATATTGACCGATGCAGGTGACTTATGATTATGTTTTCCATTAGTATTATTGGATCCATATCATGTGGAAGAATACAGTGCTCTACAAATACCAAAACAAACAAATCAAAATCTATCAATAATAGCATTTTCCAAAGAATATATATCTTTTGGATATTTTCATTTCTAAAAGAGATATTTTAATAAAAATTTTTAAAAATTAAAATTAATGAAGAAATAAAAATAAATATATAAATAAATCCATTATACCTACCCTAATTTCGTTATTGTCTAAGCTACCCAAGTCCTACATCCAATGCCATCATCACTACAAAGCCTATGATAACTCCACAGGAAGCCAGCTTCCCATTACCACTGCAATAATAAGGCATACAAATATAGGTCAAATAAAAAAAAAATGCAAATTATACTAACAGAGAGTTCAATGTGAAACAGTCTCCACCTTTTCACAGACAAAAGTGTTGCATTCTTAAAGAAATTGTTACCCTTCACCAAAAAATAAAGCAAAATGAGATCAAAAATTTAAAATAAACAAATAATGAGATACAACAAAATCTGAAAACTGCCTATTAAACAAAATGCTTATGAACTATTATTGAATACTGTTTTACTTGGATTGATACTCACAAGATTAACTTCAATTTGCATAACTGCTTAAATGTTTTCAAAAATCCAGATATACTAATTGAAATCAGGATAAATTAACTGTAAGTTTTCTAGTGTATGTATATGTCTGTGTCTGGGGTGGAGGAGAGGGCCAAATACAACTCACCATGTTTGTGCCTCTGGAATGATATCATCTGCCACCACATAAATCATGGCCCCTGCAGCAAACGCCAGTGCGTAAGGAAGGATTGGTTCAGCTATTCCAACAGCCAAAGCACCTAACACCCCAGCTATAGGCTCCACCATGCCACTTAACTGACCCCACCTGAATCAACCAACAGGCAGAGAAATGAGTCTCTTTTTCCAAACATCAAAGGCTTTAATTTTCATTCTTTGCCTTTCATAAACTTTGTGATTCTTTTTTGTCACTGCATATGTGAATAAATCTTTGATGTAAACCTCATTTTCTAACTACAAAATATATTAATGGTTCAACATGCATGTGTATACTAGGCTCATCTGAAGTCTGCACTACTCATGCACTACTCACTACTCATGACGATACAGACATACAAATATTGTTTATCTTGATGTGGTTTACAAGTCTTTTTGACAACAAAAATGTCACACTAATGTTAAAACCCAAATTATTCTTTCAGGCCCAAGAGCTACTTTTTTCGTCTCACAATAATAAAAAAATTTTGACATTTTTCTCTGGTAAAGGCTAATTGAAAATTGGATTTTACCAAAAACTCTTAAATGTTGAAAACCCTGATCCTCTTAGTGGAAGACTGACCGCCAGTCCTTCTGGAAAATTCTGTATTCCAATGCCTATAGCAAGATTCCTGGAAATATTAATTTAAAAAAATATATTACGTAACAACTTCATCTAATTATACAAAATATGCATATGGAGTACACATAATAACAGACATTTCAATACAAAAAGCAAACATTGCCAAAAAATTCCACTGCATTTGTAGTCAAAACCTAAAATCACAAAAATGTAACATTGCGCACTGAATAGAACTGAATTATATTCTAAGAAAATTAGCTTAAAAACATTAAAATTATTAAGAAAACAACTGTGTTTTAACTGATGGAAAACTAAATGTTAGGCATATACAGAGAAGCATCAATTGAGATGGTCAGAATCCATCCATATTGTCTTTTCTACAGCAGATATGCCAAAATGTATGAGAAAACTGTTCGGTTTTCATGCATAGGTAAAACAGACTGATGAGTAATAAAAACAATCCAAATCACCTCGCATTTTCAAAAGTAGCAGATTTAGTTTTTCCTATTGCACCAAATCCAACCCCAACGGCTAGACCCTCTGTAAGAAAAACCAATCCAATGACTGTTGTATATTCCCCCAAAAATATAAATTAACATTATATAAACAATATGATTAATCTCAGGATTAACTACATTTACATATTTTTAATAACTTTAAAAAGCTAATTAATTTGTGAACTGCTTGATGTTGTTCTCTGTTTATTATTTTGTTTCGTATGTCCAAAGTCAAACTACCATCTCTTTTTTAAAGTTAGTTTTTTTAACAAGACATATTTCAAATAAATTCAAGATACTTTATTTTGCAGTCTTGGGCAATTTAATAGATCCTAAATAACAAACTGTTCATGAAAACGAATTTTTTTCAATCCAACCAAATATTGTTTTACTTGGGCAAATGTGGATGGCCTCAAACGTATGATACCTGGAATGTTGTGAACAGTAATTGCAATGATCAGCAGCATTATTCTCTTCCAGTTGATGGTCTGTTGGACATCGCCCTCTTTACTGCTGTTGTCACTTATACTATTAGTGAAGCCATCTTCAGTTGGTCTTTTTCGTCTTTGGTAAGATGGGGTGGGCTTCCTGAGATCACCAGCGCCATCTGGAAACCGCAAAATATAAAATACTTCACGCTGGTCATTTCTGCCAAAGAAATGTTCTTTGAAAGCTGTGATTCTAATTTGAGCATAAAATAATTCTTACAGCATTGTTAAAGTTTTCAAATATGTCTTTTTGTCTACTACCTTTTTAATTTCTTATTCATTTTTCTTTTCATGGAAAAAATGGTATTGGTTATAATCTTATCTTTCTGCAGATAGAAGCAGGCTGAGAAAAGTAAATTTTGAAGCTATGCTTTAATTCTCCACAAACTTCCCAATAAAAAATCTATAATTATTTGGATAGTAGTAATTGAAAAGTAGTATCAATATTTCAACAAAAATTATCATCTGTTGATTATGAGTGTTTAATGTTTACTTTAAACAAAACAAATGGCCAAAAAGATCAATATACCTATACCATCATCGATAACCAGTAAAAATATCAAAAATTACCTTTTATCAGATTAAAAATGTCTAAACCAGCAGTCATTACTTAAGATTTGTAGAAATGAAGTGTAATTATTTCTTTTGCCCATAAAACTAATTATATGAATATGATAATCAGATAGTCCTTGAGACACCATTGAGAATATCAATAGCATTGCTAATACTTCCTTTCTGAACAAAACAAATGTAACAATATATACAACTAATTCAGGGACCATTCCCAGACCCTATTGTACTAACTGTGGATTGACCTATCTCCAAGGAGATTCTTGCTGAATTGCAATCAACTTAAGCAGCATAGATGTCTGGCACGCCTACTGAAGCTTTTTGGGGGTAATTAACTATCATTAAGCAGCTTCAGTAGGTGTGCCAGACATCTTAGCCACTTAAGCTGAAAGTATTTTAGTGAGAAACCCCTTGGAGATGGATTGATCCTGTTAGATCAATCTAGGTATGGAAACCCAGTCTTAGTGTCATATTCTCTGGATTTTAACATAAATGAAGTGAACATTTTATCACCTTTAAACTGATAAAGCTCAGTGTTATTTTGCTCTGGTTCCACAGCTTCTTCATCATCTTTCCTGAACTTTGGTCCACTGGCAAGAGCTAGGGCTATGTTAGGAGATTCCACACCCTGAGAGAAAAAGGGAATAAAATAGACACAAACAAAATACAATGTTATTGTATTCAACTGGTGTGTAAGCTATCATTCAGAGAGAGGCATTTAATTTGATTGGACATTAAATTAAAGTTTGATTAAGATTCAAATTTTAAAAAAAGTAGAAAAAACATAAAGCTCCTGTTCTCACCAAATAGGGCATAAGAAGATCTGCATAATATACAAAAGCTGCTCCTAATATAAACCCAATAGCCACTGGTACAAATGCCCACTCTCCCTTCTCTCCATATTGGCCAGAGTCTTGAGCCATCTCAATAGCTGGTGCCAACAATGACCAGTAGGATGCTGCAGTCATAACCTGTAATTGAATAAAGTATCCTTATTGAAGTATGATTACAATGGACATCCAACAATGATATAATAATACAAACTGTGTATGACAAGATGTTTGGGAGAACTAAATAGGCTGTTTAACATGACCACAATATAACAAATTATTCAATTAGGTGATAAGAGAGAGAAAGAGAGAGAGAGGTGTACAACACTGAGAAAAAAAATATTGTTAAGACAGAAAATCTATGATCAGATGATATGTTGTCTTACCCCAGCAGCGAAGCCCAAACTTCCATCAAGAACTTTTCTCTAAAAATATGTATCAAAAGCAAATATATAGGTCTAATAACTTACAGTGGTTTCTTAATCTGTAAAACACATTATTCTTTAAACAAACAACATTGCCTTTGTAATATTATGGCAGGGAAACTGAAAATAAGATGATAATATATCTAAGGCTTCGTTCACATGCAATGTCTATTTTCTATTTTCTATTTTCTATTTTCTATTTTCGGTATGTCTTATGATCACGGTCTGTGCACTGAATATCCCGCCGCGTAATTACTGGCAGCGCGAGCCAGTTACTTATAGTAACTTATAGTAACTGGCTCGCGCTGCCAGTAATTACGCCGCGGGATATTCAGTGCACAGACCGTGATCATAAGACATACCGAAAATAGAAAATAGAAAATAGAAAATAGACATTGCATGTGAACGAAGCCTAAGCCTCATTTGGTATGCAGAGACCTGTGAGAATTTTTCTAAAAAGTCTGGAAAGGGCAGCAAGATCATGCCAGTAGTATATACGCCATGTATTAGAACAAGTTCTAGAATTTTACATCAGCATATCACATTTTGGAGAAATTTGGTAATTTTTTATCCCCATTCTTGGGTTATCAATTCAGCCAATATGACGGACAGGAGTGCAAGCTCTTCTGCCTACACTTGGAAGATACCTTATATCAATTTGCATTTCCCACACTGCATGCACCTATGGCCAAAAATTCTGTCACTTCACAAATACATTTCTCAAGTTGGGAAAGTACTAAATCAAAATTTAAAATCTGCAAACATGCCTAGCTCCTGTACTTCTTATGTGGCAAATTTCAGGCTTCTCTGACATCATTTAGGGCTGGTGAACATGGGCGTCTGCAGGGGGGTCAATAGGGTCACTTGAGTCCCCCTAGAATTTTGGAACTGCATTTTTATTGCAGGTACCCAGCCAATCATTATCTCCCCCTTCAATGACTTTG